AGCCGACTGATCGTTCCCCGGCGTCTCGTCGCCACCGCTCCTCTGCACATTTGGATGTGATGGAGACGGGGTACGACTTCATTCTCGGCACTCCGTGGTCTCGTCGGTTCCACAGCACCGAGGCCGATTGGGCGACCAACACTCTCGTTCTCAAAACGAAGTGTGGACAGACGTATCGCGTACCTTTCATAGGTACCACTGCGACACCACACCCCGATCCTCCTTCCCCGGAGCCTTCAGTGCCCACACCATCTCCCTCTATCACTGTCACCTCGCCTCGGCAGTTCGCTCACTTCATCCGATAGGACGACGTCACCTTCTTTATGGTGAACGTGACGGATCTCTTACACTATGATCCACCCTGTCCCGACGCCGAGCTCATCCCTTTGGAGCCCGATCCTCCTTCTATCTCCATGGCTCCCATCTCTACTTCCGTCCCTCCGCCATCCGTCGAGTCCACCCCGCCGTCGTGCGCTAACGCTGACGTGTGAACTCATACGATATACGGCCGACTTGGAGTCCGCAGTTCGTGACCTCATCCGAGAGTACCACGACGTTTTCCCATCGTCGTTCTCGTACACCGGCATCCAACCGATGCATGACGTCGAGCACTCCATTCAGCTTGTACCTGACTATCGTGTTTACCACCAGGCACCCTACAGACTCTCGATCCCCGAGGCCACCGAAGTCAAGCGTCAGCCTGAGGAGCTCCTGAGACTAGGTTTCATTAAACCCAGCAACTCCCCGTGGGGTGCACCCGTCCTCTTTGCTCGCAAAGCGGACGGAACTCTCCGTCTCTGCATCGACTATCACGGTCTCAACCGCTACATGGTTAAGAACCATGCCTCGTTCCGATGAGCTGTTCGACCGCCTAGCAGGCAACCGCTTCTTTACGAAGATTGATCTTCGTAGCGGTTACCATCAGATCCGCGTCGCTGCAGCCGACCAGCTGAAGACCGCGTTCCGATCTCGATTCGGCCACTACGAGTTCACGGTGATGTCATTCGGCCTCACTAATGCTCCCGCTACCTTTCAGAGGGGGATGAACGACATCTTCAGGGACATCCTGGAGCAGTACGTTCTCGTCTACCTCGACGATATCCTGGTCTACAGTCGTACCCTTGAGGAGCACCTCAGACATCTCCGCGACGTCCTTGACCGCTTGCGCAGACATGGCTTCTACGCCAAGCTGAGCAAGTGCCGCTTTGTCCAGCACAAAGTGGATTTCTTAGGACACTACGTGTCTGACCAGGGTCTCCACATGGACGACGCGAAGATCACTGCTATTGCGGAGTGGCCCGCTCCCACCTCCGCCAGCCAGCTTCGCAGCTTCCTAGGCCTGACCAGCTACTACAGTAACTTCATTCGGGGATACGCTAGATATTCCTACGTCCTTACCTCCACCCTCCTCCGGAAGAACCCACCCTGGGCTTGGACACCCCTCCACGAGGACGCCTTCCGCGCCCTCAAGAAGGCGGTGACATGCGCACCAGTTCTTCACCTACCCGATTTTGACCGCCCTTTTATCCTTACCACCGATGCGTCAGACTTCGCTGTAGGAGCTGTGCTTTCTCAGGGTTTCCCCTCCTCTCCCGATTCCTCTCATCCTCGTATCCCTCGCTTCCCACCACCTACCCCTACCACTGCTTCCCGACTGACGCCTACTCGTCCAGCTACTGACGAGCC